ATATAGTAATATTCTCAGAAAGCTAACACTATTGTATGAGGTTTTCTGTTGACAAAATGACTTACTCCAATTTGAACATTTTTCATTATTAATTTTAGAGATATTTCTAGTGGGAAAAGTATACTTTTATTCACATTTCTATATTTTTACACTGCAATCACCTACTCTTGAATCAACTTATTCACTGTCTGTACAGTTTTATAATTTTTTCTAGAAATATTACTTAAATGACTTTACTCAACTCAATAATGTTGAAATTGGAGTTAGTCATTCTGTCAAGGTTCATATTATACCTGCATTACAGTCTTTGTCAGCACTACTTGCTTTATTTTGCCTTCTATCTTTTAAGTTTATGATCTGGGTTTGACTTCTGCTGTCATAGCTAACTGATCCTATCAAAAATATTTTATGCTCTAAAATAGTTGTATTTATCAGTAATTAAAATAATTTAAAATTAAAACTGATTTAAATGTCTTTCTGAGTGAGATGAGTAATCAATATTTTTTTATTTTCAAATATCTATTTTTTTTTTAAATTCTTGAATTATTCAAATTCAAAATTCTCTCAGTCGTTACTTTTCTCTAGCTACTCTTTACTTCTTGAAACATCTTCTTAAACAAATCAGGGAAATTTTTGATAATGGAGGATAATGGCAAAAATAGTCAAGACCATATCAGGAAAAATGATAATTTCTTATTATTTTAAACTTACCCCTCTTGTTTTTGGCAAAAAGGGTCAAAAGGCTCCCCCCACCCACCAGTACCAATACCAGTACCTCTTATGTATTTAAAAAATATTTTTATTGATAATTATTTAAAATACTGTAGTAAATATGTGCATGGATGGTAATTATTTAGAAAACAAAAAAAACAAATTTTTTTCTAGTCCATTATCGTTTAGAAAAAACCATTGAAACTCGATCTTTAAAATTGTAGGTGTTTTATATTAATAGAATTTTTTTATTTATTCGTGATATTTACGAATGTTTTAAAAAATTACATCTAGTAAATTTGTACAAATGGATATGATGACATGAAAACACTTGTTGAGGAACCTACCCACTGGTAGCACTCTGATGGAATTTTTTATTTATTTTTTTAAGCTGAAAAATATATAGACAATGTTTGTAGTGGTCCACATTACGCCACCTTGTTCTAGATTTTTTTTAGTTTCTTGTTCTGCCACTTTTGATCAATATATAATGCCAATCCACTAATCCTAACATTTAATTTTCATTGCCTTGGTAAAAATTAAATAACTAGCATTAAAATATTACAAAATAAAGTTATCTTTATGAAATAGAAAAGTAATTTTTATTTCCTAGCGGTAAACACGCTCTTTATTGGAAGAGCTTAGGGCAAGAATGCCTTTTTAGAAACTGAAAAAAAAAATTATAAAAATTAATTATTTTTTTTAAATCTTGTACTGGTTTAAATTATGAATCTTAATTATCAAGTTTTATAATTATATCATTATCATAAATAGTGCAAAGATTGACCTACTGAATCGAGTAAGATAATCAACTACTGCTTTAATAGCAGGAAATCAGTCTAGAAAACAGAAAATTCTGGGGTTATCTAGTCATATCAGTTTCAGAAATAATTTCCTTCAATAGGGTAACTCAAAACGATAAGAGTCTGCAATGAAACTTTAAGAGACTTCAGAAGCCATGTTAGTTGTTTGTAAAAATAGATAACTCAAATTAATAAAAAAGAATATTCGTTAGTAGTGATTACCTGAACTAACACTAAAAATGTGTACTCTAGATCAAATTTTTTTTAGTTAGAATTTAAAAATAGCAAAAATAGTTTTTTCCTACAATTTTTTTCTCTATACTAAAAATTACCAATTTGAAAGAGTTCCCTTCTCTTCTTATATCAGACCTTTTAAGAAAATATTTTTTTTTAAATTACTCTCCCTTAATTTAAGAAATGAATTAATCTACTCAAGTTATTGCTTCTGCGCCCTTTAATAGAAAATCAAAATACTGTAAAAAAATAAAATAAAATCATTATTATTGTATTCCTGTCTTACGAGTACTTTCTTATTGGTCTGATTTTTTCATAGTTCAATACAATGATTGAGACTATTATCATGCAAGATATGATAAGGAAAAAAAAGTTTTTCAGTATTCTAATATTGAAAACTTCTCTTCAACTTTTTCCATATCTCATGGTTTCTTTTTCTTTTTAGATCCAGATGAACATAATTATACTCTTAGGCTAAGAAAAAGAATCTTAACAGAGGATGGTAATATACCCATAGTCGTACCCAAAAGTAGAAGAACCACATTTTGACACTCATTAGATTGAAAAGATATTATTTCTATGAACTTTTATGAATAAAAATCATTTAATAATAATGCTTCTGAAATTTTTGTAATTATAGTTTTATAAAATTTCTTCTTTGTTTAAAACTGATCTTGAAATTTTAGTATTTGTTAATCATCAGTCGACATCTTTTCCAAATCCCCTGCAGTAATGAGTAGATGTATGTTTTATTTAAATTAATGCTGGCCTATAAGGATGTTAATTTGTATTTTGTTGAACAGTGGATAGTTAAAAAAATAAATAAGAAATCATTATTATTAACAGATTACTGTTACTAAAATCATAATTACCACCAACTCATTTACATTACAATATACCAGCTATACAGCTTTCCAAGTATTGACTCTCACGGATTTCTATCCCATACCCAGATTTCTGCCCCTCTTGGTTGGTGTGCTGGATCATTCCAGATAAAATTACTCAATGATAATTAAATTTTGGTTCAGCCTGTTTTCAATTTACATAACTTTTGGTACACTAGTTATAACTACTATTTGAATTGCCAATCTGTTTTTACTTTCACTTACGTATATATTTAATATATAGTAAGGATAAGTATTGCGATCGTAAAAATGTTTGAATTTTGAGTTTTCATATAACTTGTTATTATTATTATTATTAAGTATGTATTCTATGGTAAAATTTATATTAAAACTTTTGAAAGATAATTAAATTACTCACAAAACAAAAACAAAATTCATCAGAATCGATACACCAGTATCTTTGATGGTACTACTTATATACAAAACATATATTTCGAACAACTGTTAACGAAGTTACAGCTATTTTAATTTTGTATGTAAGATTGTACAAATTAAAATCCCGGTGTCAGAAAGAGGTTAAACAGAGGGAAAAAAGAAAAGTAAGTGAAAGTAAAAAAATCTGGTGCCCGCATCACACAAGTATCACTTTCCAGCCGACTTTTAACAGAAATTATTTTTTGACAAAATTAGTAATAGTGTATGAATTTTTCCACAAGCTAGTTTACATTGCTTTAATTTATCAAAGAAATCGTACTCAAATATTTTCTTTGATCAATATTCTGGAAAATAAATCTAGTTCAAGCTTTTTATGTTTTCTTTGTTTTTTAAATAACATATTTAATTAAATATATAAAAACTTTTCTTAAATCGGTAGGAAAATTGTGTGAGTGGACACACCAGATTTGTTTACTTATATTTAAAATTTTTAATATCCTAAAATACATCATCTTGATTGTTTTGTTTTTTTAATGTATATTATTCAGCCATGTTACACTCTTAGATTTATACCAAATTTCAAAATTTAGTAATTACAGCATCAAGAGTAAATAAAATCTATTTATTAAGAAAGTACTATGCCATTATTTATACAATATGAAAGAGTGGCCTAATTTCTACTTTATAATTTATATAACTGTCCAGTATTCTTGCATAAAACATTTATATTCTTAAATAATATGAGGCACATTATCTTGCTTGAATGTTGTATGATTGACTTAGGAACACTGTTCTTATTATTTTCTAAAAGTTGATACTTAAATGAGATTCGGAAAATCTCAAAAACCCAACATAATTTTTGATTTTCTTTTAAATATATATTATTCTGACATGCATTGGTTAAATGTTTAAGAGTTGAAGAAATTATTTATTACTTCGCACATTAGTACTTCAATTAAGCCACATTCAATAGTAATCTATATTATTGTCCAAAAACGTTATAACCTCTCAAGTCAATTATTCATTTTAACAATATAATGTGCTTCATATAACAGTGCAAATATTTTATCGATGAATAAATAGTTAATGATGATATAATTTGATGTAAAAAAAAAAATTACATTTAGTGTTTTGGAGATTTTAAGTATCAACTTTTAGAAAAATGATAGGAATAAAGTTCTTTTGACAATTATACTTAATTTTAGTAAGAGAAAGTGCTTCATATTATTCAATAAATATTTCCACCAAGAACATTGGATTAATATATCTACTGCAAAAATGCAAATCAGGCCATTTTTTCATTATATTTTTATCCTATCTTTTCTCTATTTTGAATAATGGCATGAATCTAACTAACGTATGGCTGAGTAAAAAAAAATTTAAATGGCATGTTTTAAGATTTTCAAAATTCAAACTTTACAAAAGTTTGAAGTCAAAAATTACAAAGAATGTTTTGTTTTAAATTTATCATGTTACATATTAAATGAAAACCCTCTTAATTAACTTTGAAATCCGCTGTTAACGCCCCTTTAGCACCATAGTTTGTAAATCTACTTGCATTTTTATTATCAAAAACATTTAAAAATTCCACGGTTCACTTAAAATTTTTAAATATAAATATAAAGTAATATTTAATATACTACTCTACTAAAAACATATTTGTTAGTTATTTAGTTAGTATTACTAATATTCCAAAAATCATAAAAATTTGAGACCTAGAGGTTAAGCGACTCTGGTAATTTGACATGGAATGACCCAACTGTTCTATTTTTTGGTTGAACTTTTTATTTAACTCTTCTATTTTAATTGCCCTCTGTACTTCTTCTTAATTTTAATTAATTGAAATTCTCCTCTGTGAATTTTATTATCTTGAATATACCATGTAATGAATTTTATTTGGAAATAAAACTTTGTATTGAATTTAAGATGTATAGAATATTCAATTATTTACATAAATTTAATATTTCCATAGGAGATAATGATATTGAGTTTTCATTGATGGCCCGAGAGAGACCTGACAACAATATAGGGTAAGTTTTTTTTTTGTTTAATTAATAAATTATATGATTCTATAGATTATATATGTATATTCTTATGGTATTTAATTTATTATGCATTTAAAACAAAAAGTTAATGAATTACTATTACTTTCATTGGCTATTTATAAAATATAAAGTTATTATTGTGAAAATAATACCTGAATCAATTAAATGTTAAAAGTAGCTCTATTTTTAATCCCTGGTTAAAATTTCTTTCAGTTTAACAAGTTTTAAGAAAAATAAATAAATTAATCATTGTTAATGATCGAACATTGAATATTTCTTCAACACTAAAATTTAACATTAATTGAGTTTTACTCTTTAATTTTTTATTAAAAATAGTGCAAAGTGTAGGATCAGAACTGAAAGTGCTTTTTCTTATACTGATTTTGTTGATACACTATAAAATTTACATTATCTGAATTTCCTAATTTTGATACAACCATTTGACTTTCCCATCAAAAGATGAATTATTTTGATAAAATTGTGAAATTAAAAACTGTAAACTAATCTAGATGGCTGTTTTCAGAATTGGATCATCACTGAAATAATCATTCCAAATTAAAAGATAATTGTTTTAAGTTTTTTAAACAGCAATTTTTCCATTAATTTTCAGTGATATAGCACTTCAGAGTCTTGAAGATGAAATTATGTTAATGAGATTATTTGATATTCAAGATACCAATGGTATTTTCCTTGAAACTGTCCGTAAGTATCTTATTTATTGAGTTTAAAATGTTAAATTCATTTCTTCTTTATGATAAATGTTTAAAAATCTATTCTTTACTTCTATATTACTAATACAGTGAATTAATGTTCCTTTCTTTACAAGCTTTTCTTTCAGTACGAAGTTTAATAAAATTCTATCCTGAGTATTTCTAAATTCATTATTGAATTCCCAAAATCTTGAGAATATTTCAACCCCTCTGGTTCTTTCAGGTTCTTCACGAGCTCAAAGAGACTCAGCTACGGAATCAGTGAATGTGGATAATATAAATGCTAGTGATATCATGTAAGTAATAATCTTTGTATTCATGATGATGCTTATTCGATTTCTTGAATTTAAATCTAAGAGAACAATTACTCAAAACAGCAAAATCAACCCACTGATATTCATAGTAGATCAGGTGTAAGTTATTATATTTTTGGTAGTTCTATTTTATTGGATACATTCATTCTTAAATTTGTCTATTGAAATCTAACTCAATTTTCTCTTTCACTTAATTATATATTAACTGTGTAGTAAGGAGAATTATTAGAATCATGAACAATTTCTTATCTGAGTTTTCTACAGTCCCCTGAGTTCAAATAACCAGATGAAATGTCTAGCTCAAAAAAGAAAAATTATAGGAAACTGAAATTTTAATCTACTTAATTTAGATATGCCTGGGATATTAGCAACTTTTCCACTAAATATACTTACTAAATAGAAGTACTCACAGAAAGAAATATGCAAATTTACGTCAGTAAATAAGATTTGCTTTTATAAGAGAAAAACTTATTTGTTTGTAAGGTAAATGATAGATAGTTTTTATTATAAATTCAAATTAAGGAGTGTGTTAGGTCAGTGGGTACAGCCACTGTACTTTTACTATTTTTACTTGGGGAAATAAGCTAGTAATTGAGCATGATCTTGGAATCGTTTCCTTGCAGCGTTGGTCTAGAAACAGCATTCCTTACAAATCAGTAATGATAGAGGAGGCAGAGTAGTCGAGCAGGCTAACGCCTGGGCAAAATACGTGTTGTCCGGCAACCTGATTAACTGAAGATTGTATGATAAAATATATATGAGTTTTTTTCCTGGTGCTGGGGGGCTTTTAAATCTTGCAGTAATCCCCACTCTCTCCCCGGGCCCGTGAAGAACCCCGTAAAGCTTAGTAAGGAAGGACAAAAAAAAAAAAAAGTACTGAATAAAAGAATCTTCATGAGTTGTAGTGAAAATGAAATAAAAATATTTTGTTATTATCCTGGGACTGTTGTCCTTACAAATTATAGAATAGAACAAATTATAAATTCAGAGAAAATGCCTGTTTGGCCAGACATTAAATTACATATTTACAAAATAATATCTAATTAAAATAGAACAGAAATAAAAAAAATTTAAAAAACAGATATATATAAAATAATATAAGTAAACAAAATAGTTTCTGAGGGAACATAAAAAGTTCTCTTATGTTCATTACGTGATCAGAGTCGGGTTAGGAAAGGAGTAGATGCTTAAAAATGATAGATTTAAATGAGAAAACTCATTGTGCTTGTCAGATATCGGATGGGATTAAATTCCAAAAGGAGTCGGTTTGAATTACAAAGGAATTGTCAAATGTAGTAGTTCGGTGAGCAGGATAGAGGTCGAAAGTATGGGATCTGATGGGATGGGATTGAATGGGGAATTTGAATTGTAGGCTCTGAAGAATATAGGAAGGTCGTTGACTTTTAATGGCCTGGTATATAGAGGAAGCAAGGAAGTAATGTCTCTTGAGATCCTGAAGACAAAATGTATTGAGCAATTCATTAGGCATTTAAGTTTGGCTTCGAGTTCTTCCGAGAGTCCACGATACACCATGTAACCATAGTCGAAGTGGGGGAAAACAAGAGAGGAAACCAGGAGTTGATGGGATACAAGTGTAGGTATTTTTTTAATAAATTAAAATGCTTGAGGGGTAGGACCATATAATCTCTCAAAATCCACACCCTAATTGGAAGTGTCAATTCTGATCAATTTTTTTATATTAATGTAGAATTAAATGTTTTTTAATATCATGTAGGTCACATAGATAGGTTCTATTCTCATTGAAATAGTTTGACTTGGCTTAAATGCCGAATTTTCAAAATAGTTTTCTTTAAAGTACCTTCAATATGCTTTATTTTTTATTTACTAAGTCTATCATGGTTAGCGATTATGAAATGGCTGAATGTTAACTGTGAAAGAATTGGTATTTAACAACAGCAGAAAGATTTTTTCAGGTTGAACACAAATTTATGGAAATTAAAGTTAGTAATATATTGTTGGACAACTGAAGATTTTAGATAAATCATTTAATTAAATTAAATCATTATTGATTATTTAATTTCCATTAGGTAATTAATGATCATTATTATTAGCAATGATTTTTGACTATTTATAGGTAACTTAAAAATAAGCAAACTAGCTTGAATTGTTGTTATAAAATGAATAAATAGTAAAATGACTTAATAAGGCTTATCTATCTATCCTTTGAGACACCATTTATAATATCTAATATATAAAGTCGGAGAAGGTAATGAGTGATGAATAACCGATGACCAATAACTATAACTATACTGTTATACTCTTTTATGCAACGTGTTTTTATATTCCTTTGACAACAAGCGTTGGAAATAGTCTTAATTATTGATTCTTGACTTAAACTCTCAATACTTTTCTTTAAAGAATTTAGTTTAAAATTTGTTTTTTTTATATTCTCATTCTTATATTCTTTTTTAGCTGATTACATTAAATTTAATTTTGCTGATTGCATTACACTTAATTTTCAGAGAAGCAGATGCAGAACCAACTTTGTCAACTTCAAATAGTGATCACCTATTTTGGCTTCTCCCTGAGAATACTAGAAAGACATTTTTCGAGTAAGTAATTTTTCCCTCATGTCAATTTTAAGTTTTCATTACATATTTTGGCTTTCTATCTCAACAATTTATGGGTACTACAAATAAGAAACACAATTTAATACCTCTATCATCTGAAGGGATACTTAACAAAAACAGAAATTGTATAATCCAATTGATGCTTATGAATAAACTAATGCTTTATTTTCAGTGATATGCTTGATGAATCACAAAGAGCTAGTGGAAATGATCACCTTTCAAGGCCAGAAAGTAAGAAATACAGATCAATGTACATTTAAAACTAATTGTTACAAATACAGTGCCTATTCTATCTGTATGAACAAGATGTTTCAAAAATACTTTTCATTTTATTAATAAAATCAGGTAGAGATTAAGCCGAGCAGGATCATTTAAGAAAATGTTCTCTCAAAGTGTTGTAAATGTATTTAATGTAAAGTAATGAGAAGTAAGTGGGTAATTGTTATGTTAAATCAAAACCCTGAACTATTATAAGCTGCCCTTAACAGAACATGAACTTTAAACACTCATCTTTCACAAATCAGTCATGATAGTTCATTAAAGCTGAAAGAAAACAAGGTATATCAGCCATTTCCTATCTGTTGCTCAAGTTGATCTTTCTTCTTCAGTTTCTGTTATATTAATTTTTATCTATTCACCATAGTCTATAAATTAAAACACTAAATGATTTGCATTTTTCTTTGACAGTTTTCTAGTTCAGTATGCTAGTGCGCAGTTGTCTGGCAAAATATGATAGTAGAGATGAATACAAGTCTAATGCAACTAGTGCACATACCATTTACTATCATGTTTCCCAGGGCATCTGCGGACTATTACATTGAAAATTCTTCTTTTTTTTTTTTTTCAATACATTTATGTGTTCTGTTTTCCAAATTCATGAATCTGAAGATTTTAAAATGTAAATCTCAGGCAAGTTTTAATTTTTTTTTTATTAAATTAGTGAAATAATATCTTGAAAACGATCTATTTTGCACATACTCCACAACTTCTTGAATATTTAATCTTCCAGATACCTCTTATATACTAACCCTATAAAGCTGGGACAGGAACGTGGTAAGGAACTGTTAAACAGAATTATCAATCTCATGAAAATGCCCATAATTGAAACGCAGTCTTCTTGAGTGTAATATTTTAAATATAATTGCCTCAGGAACATTTTAAAAAAGAAAGGTAAAATCTTGTGTGCACTTATTCCACATTACTCTTATCAGAGTTGTGCCACACTAAATTTTACTCTATTAAAATAATACTAGTTTTATCATATTAGTTTAATTTAATAGCCTTCAAAAAATGTTTCAAGTTTTGAAGTAATAAGTAATAATATAAGAAGCAATAATATTGTAAGAAGTAATAATATTGTATGTTTAAAAATTAATTCATTTTTCAGTTGGCCTAAGGTGGTCGCCTGCAAGGCATGGGCAAACTGCTCGGAATTCAACTTCTCCTCTGTCCCTTAGGCGCATGCAGGTCCATAGAGTATGTTTTATTTATCTAATATATAAATAAATATAATGGTGATGATGATGATTTATTACTAATATTTTATAACAATCCTACTGTAGGAGAACTTTGAAAATCTTCTCCGCCAGCTTTCATTTAGTCCTATTCGAAATGTCCCATCATATGGGTATGAAATTATAATTTTTTTTACTATGAATTATTTTTCATATTATTTTATCCCTTACTTTCCATTTTATTCAAGTGCTGAAGGTGGCAGTTCTTCTATTAATGCTACTCCAACTGCTGGTACATCTGGAGTCAACCAAAATCAGAGCCCAAAGAAAATGAAGTGTAAAGGTAGCCTATTAAATATACTTATTTATTTTAGCTGTAATGTGTGAGCATGAGCTCTGTAAAGCTCTCAAGTTGGTCAGTACTCTCTGGGAACCCAAAGAACACAAATAGATCAAATGTATGAAAATCAAGTAATGTTAGATAGTATTTTTATTTTTGAAGAGAAGAATGGTTAGGGTGACCAGTAAAAATAAATAATTATATTTATTTAAAATCTAAATAAATATAATTATTAATTTTTACTGATCACCCCAACCATTCTTCTTTTCAATTATCCACTACAGCCATCCATCAATCCACAATTATTTTTGTTTTTATTTTAATCGATATTCAAGGATAGTTTAGATAGCCACTTACTAAAATATGGTTGTTTGACATAAGGTTTTGCCTAACAACACTAATTTTGTCAGATAGTGTAATCAAAGTAACCTCGATTTTAATCATTATTTGCTTTTATATTTAAATGTCAAAATAATATTGGATTGGAATTAGTTGATAATTTCCATCTTATTCTTTTCATCAAATTACTCATTTCATTTTTGGTAAATTATTGAAAACTTAAGAGTGTTACATATAATTTAGTTTCTGTACCACTTAAAATTTAAATGAATTGTAAACGACTTGTCAAGTGATTTATGTTTATGTAATATTTTTGCAATTATTAATTATTTCTTTTTACCTTGCCTCTCTTGGGTATGAATTTTGGAAGTAGTGCCTGGCACCTGTATTAATTGTTCTTCTATCAATCACTTTTATGCATTGATCATTCTTATATCTTCTGATTTTTTTTTTCATTGAAGGAAATCGAAATTGTTTAGTACCATTAATTCCTTCCACCCGTATAGAAAATCTTTGTAGTACTAGTAATGGTCCTTACTGGAGCTAAGGGAAATCATCTTGTGAGGAATTGCAGAATCCAGTCATCTGGGAGAACCTATTTGTCTTCCAACCCTGAATAGACAAATAGAGGAGTCATCCAACCTTAATTCCACAATGGTGTCCGTGTCTCTACATATTATTCTTTTCCATTTTGTCGGATCTGTATCAATCAATCTGTCTTCAAAATTTTCTGGAAAACCTGCTGAGTCTTTTTCCTAAAAAGATACCTCGTCATCTCTTATTGAAGGGAGTTAGTCTATTGTTCTACATATCATGAGTGATAGATAAGTAGTCGGGACGCAGTCAGTTTTTTAGACTTTTATTGTTGCCAAAATTTCAGTGCTAGCAATACGCCCTTATTAACTGAAATGATGACCCACAAGCTTGGGTTGAAACATTGGTCTAATAAAAATCTTAAAAACTGTGTCCTGACTATCATCCATAATTCACATAAGGTTGAGATTTACCCCTCCAATTATGACTTGTATCACCTCATGAGTAATAGTTCCATCGGATTCGGGTTTAAATTTCTAATTTAAGAGTTTAATTTTGCTATTAAACAATCTTCTATAATGCTTGAAAAATCTGTAGACCTCACCAGTCTCAAAAAATAATAATATGAAAGAACTTTAGACAGTAAAAAATGTTTCCCAAAGGAAGTTTCTGTAAATTAAATGTGAAAAAAGAAAAGGAAATGAACATTTATAAGTTAATTTAATTAAATATGATAGTATCATGGGTAAAGTGATTTTAGCTTCTTTACTCGATTGCCTGATAACACTGGGCAACAAAAACAAATTTCTTTATTGTTTTCAGCACTTCATGAGTCAATTCTTACTAATTTTGGGTTGAGAAAAACGAAAATGACAATGACAAATGTTTCTAAGCTTGCATCCTGTAAGTGAGTTCCGAAGCATCCCTACACAAAGACCAATAGTAATCCGTAAGCATTGCTTCATTCTAATGGCCCTGATATCTTTGTTCCCTAACAGCAATGTCCTGATGGAATCTTTCTAACTAGGAGAGAAAAAGTCTAGGTGGGAGTGGAGAAAATAGATTTTAAGGGACATGATATATTTTTGAGCCCGAAACATTTTCATTGTTGCCCAGTGTATTTAATCTGCCCTATTTCATTTTGTCTTAAAATTAAAGTTGTAAAACAATCCTATTCTTCTCTTAAAAATAAATAGATGTCTGTAATATTTCAACACTAAAAAGATATGCAAAATGAATGCTTATCACAATTTTTATGAAGAATTAGTGTGTTTATTCTTAAATTATACATGGAATGTTGAGCCATGAAAATTAGTGGGTTATGTGTCATATACTTTTCGAACCATTGGTCTGAATGAAGAATCTTATCATTATAGCCGTTGTTTAAAATCAAAATTAAATATTATTGTTTACAGGACGCCAGGTTGGTGAAAAGAAAAAACTGGATAAAGATTTTTTTCCTCTTCCAAAGAATGATGGTTCGCCAGATGGTAGAGGGGCCAACTCAATTTGAAAAATAAAATAAATAAATGTATTATTAGCTTCAGTTAGTATGTTCAATAGAATCAAATTTTAAATTAGGTACTAAATTTTTCATTTTTATTCATTAAGGTTGCCCCAGTATTAACTTCACGTATGTTTATCAAGATGAAAAATTACACAATCTATGAATTGTATTTTCATACTGACTAGAGTTTAGTTATAATCCATTATTATGTTTATTAATGACTGATTAAGTATAATAAATGATTTCTGTGATTTAGTTTAAATTCATCTTATGTTTTTAATTTCATTAATTTGATGTGATTCGATTTTATATTTATTTTTAGTTGGCATTCCTTTATTTTGTGATTTTTATTATTTTTTATTTTTTTGTTATTGCTGTTTGTTAAGTTTTTATATTATCAATTAGTTTATTAGGACCTATATCATAGTAGTCAACAATGTAGACAACAATTGTTTTGAATTATTTTCTGAAATACTTTTTTGTGAAAAATGTGATATTGTATTGCCTATTTGTTTACGTCTGTTGTATACTGCTTATTAACAAATGTCGCTAGACATTAAAAACTAATATTTTTTAAAATATATTTGTTGTGTAATTTCCTAAATAAAATTATATGTATAATTAATTTGATTTTCAAGTACCTTAAAATATCTACGATGTTTCATGATTTTGTTTTTATGTTTAAATTTGTTTATTTTTCATTGTGAAGCTTTGATCTAGAAAGTCAATTTGTCTTTGCTCATTAGCAATTTTAAACACAGTTATAAAATTCATAATTTTTGAGTTATAGTTTTATGTTCCTTATTGTCTTTTAGTGGACATAGTCTGCACTTAGTTTGTGTGTTTGTTCTAAACTATTAATACTCCATGGCCAGTGTCCTTTATGCATACTGTTCTTTGAGATCATGTTGATCTTAGTTATTCAAACATAATAATAATAACAATAATAATTGTTATTAATAGTTATATTTGAAAAAGAAAAAATATTTTGTTAGATTTTTAGTTTTCTTAAAACTTATTTTACACACAAAATTTCCTAGTATTCTGGGAACAACCAATTTTGTGAAACTAATTTTCAGCACTTAAGTCTTATTTATCCAAATTTACTAAGAAATGATGAGTTGTATGTGTCTCTAAATTTATAATAAAATCTTTTTTATTAATTTATGATTTTTATTTTTTGAAAAGCTGCTTCCTTTAAGTAAATATAAGATTTTTTATTATTACTTTTCCACAATAAATAATAAATTTAATATTATTACAATTACAATTTGTTATCTTATTTTTATTTGTTATATATACATTTTGATTATTATTTAGTTGTTATTTCGTTTCTGTTTTATTTTATGTATATATGGTTTGAATGTACTCTTTCATCACTATAACCATTCCCCATGTGGCAGAATGTTATTTTACCCTATACAAAAAAAAATATGTTTTCTTGGATCTATATTTTTTAGATGTAGATTAAAATTATGAATTTTTTATAAGTTTACGACTTAATATATTTTATACTATCAACTAAATTAATAAAAAAAAAGTTTGCTATTCCGGAAATAATGAAATTAATTTTACATACTTTGTAGTTAAAAAGTGTAGAGTATTAGTAGATCCTATCCGCTCACTAGGACTACAAAGCTGACTTTTTATAAAACCCCGTTCTTGGTACCATTATACTATTATTTTTCCTTTACCTACCATTTAGGTTAAGAAGTTTTTTTAATCAGTTTTCAACATATGTTTATGTTTTAGAGCTCCACAAATCCACAAAAAAAAATTTTTTAGGCTATTGGTCTGTGTCACATTGATCTCATTGGATCTGTTCTTATTCCAAGCTAATGATTCTTATGAAACCTACTTTAATCATTTAAATCATCTCCAAAAGCTCTTATCTTTGTATGTTTGTGTGTGTACATATAAATTAACCATAAATTAAAGATGGTGTGACATAACAGTGTCATTAATTAATGTGAATTTAAGAAATCAAACCTCTCTGAACAAACTTAGAGCAAAAAAGTTACCAATTTATCCGTTAATGATTATTAATCATATGTTGAATGAATGACTCTAGCAAGTACTTGTTGAAAATTGAACAGAGAATTTTGGAGCTTCTTATGGTAACTGCTGTTATATTTCATATCATGTGACAAATTGAAATCTATTTAAAATTTTTGACATGTGCATTTTTGTATCTGTGCAACTAAATCTTCGATTCTCTGGTCCTTTAATTTTATCATGGCTTCGAAATGCTTCACCTATTCAAATAAAAAAATATTTGATTAAGTAAATATGAGCCAAGAGAATACAGTGCTTTAGCTTCTTGTTCACTGGAAGTGATGTTTGGGTATCAGCTCACGAGTAAAACATGCTACATAGTTTTAGTACTACAACAATCGACATTTGGCTACAGTGGTCTAGCTAAATTATAAAAGATTCAATTCTGTTTATGATGGTAGAGGATTATGAAAAATTGAAATTGTTTTTCTTCAAAACAAATAATAATAATAATGAGATCAAAAATCACTTGGGAAATATGACAATGACGAACATGGAACAAAGTAATCACAGAAAGGGAGGAGCCAAGTTATTAGGTAATAATTTTTTTTTAAATATTTTACATAATATCTTGTATACTATACAAAATAAAAATGTTATTTTTTAAAAAAAGTTATTGTTTATTTCTAGATAAAAATTAAAAGAAATAAATTTGAAATCTGTATAGCTTACTATATATTGTTTAAAAATTAATTGTAAAAAAGAGAACTAATGCTGCAGGGCTGCTTAACTGAGTTGCTAAACCACACAGCTTATACATCAGTCAACTGGTAATATTAAAAAATATCTGGTGCGGTGCGCATCACACAACTTTGACTTACCACCCTCTTCTTAGCAAAAATAATTATTTTCAGACAAAGTGGAAGTGAAAGTAAAAATTAAGACGCCTTATTTATTTATATATATATTCCATTGTGGATATTTTTATTTGTTTAAGTGTCCTTAAGTACAAAAAATTAGAGGTACCTTAGAGCACTAACGGATCCAGGATTTAATTTTGGGGCCCGAAATTTTTTTTTTGTATGTATTATTACTTTTTATTTTTTTCGAGTGGCACTACAGACCATGAAGATCTTTGGCCGCAAGATGTGGTCTCCTTGGTCCTGCTTGTTCAGATAGCCTGGAGGGGTTCACCCAACCTCAAGTTGCTACGAACCATGGTCTGCATGGAGCAGTGGCAGGCTGCCCCTAGTTCCATAACCGATCCCTTTAGGGCCCATCTGGCAGTGTACTTCCCACCGACTCACTCAGGTAGGAGGACAGTGACAAATCAGTCTAGATCAATAGATTATGGCTGTCCAGAATCAGCAGGGCCAGGAGGACCTATATTTATTTCCCCAAAACAGATCTTCCATGGACCAAACCTCAGAGGGGCTACTAACATCCTGGTAAACCACATCCCAATTCCAGTACACGGAGTAGGGTCATCAGTCCTACATCCGGTCGGTGTGAGTTTTCTCCAGTAGGCTGACGGGCCTCACATACCCGGGGGAGAGGAGAGAATCGGGCAGCATGGCTTTCCCTGGTGAATGGTCACTCAAATCGGGCGGTCACCCATCCAAGTACTAATCACGCTCGACGTTGCTTAACTTTGATTACCTATTTCAAGCTTATTAGCTCGTACAGCTACCTCAGCCCATCCTTTTGTATGTATATATATGGATAATTACTTCGGTAGAAAGAAAGAAACTAACGATCTATATGAAATGGTGTTTAAGTGATTCTTTAAGTCCTATTAAATGTAATTAGACGAACAATAATCCTTTTAGAGATAATTTTTTCATAAATCATGGTTATATTTTACGATTTTGGGGGGCTTCAACCCCTATGATCGCAATACTGTCCCTTACTGTATGTATATAGGTAAGTGAAAGTAAAAACAAATAAGAGAGAGTTCGGCGGGACCATTATAATACTTGGCAAATGCCTTTTAACTCAGAATCTTCTCTCACTGAATTCATCAGAATACTTTTCCTTCAAGTAAGGCAGTGCTGACCTTAGACATTTGGCGCCCCCGACCAATGAAGCCATCTCCTCTCCCTTCCCCCAAAAATTAATTAATTTCTGTTTTACATTATTTAATATTCGAATTTTATTTAATTCCTCAACGGGCGCCGCTCTAGATCGACACTCCAGAATAATAGCTCCAGTTGCGAGAACTAAGGCCAGCAGGGATGTAAGGTATGCATTTCGTATGAATTTTCTTGTTCTTTTTCTGTATCTTGAAATCTTTATCTTAATAGTTCGTTTCCAATTTTTCTTGTAATGCGTCTTTAAAAAACCTATCTATGTAGCCAAATGTTAACAGGTCACTGATTTTATCAAATATTTGTGTGTGTGTGTATGTGTGATTTTACATCCAAAAATAATTTTTAAGAATACTCAAAACAAACATGCACTAGCTGATCCAGGATTACAGTTTGGGGAGAGCTTCAGTTCGAAACATTTTTTTAAAAATATAACGATAAGTACTTTGGAAGAAAAAGAAATAAAGGAACTACTTATGCGATAATTTTTTTATATGTCCTATTAAATGTAATTAATTTTTTTAATTCTTTTCATAAGATATGGTAATATTTTACCATTTTAGGTGGCTTCAGTTGGAAAGCCCTCCTCCCCCCTTAGATCCGCCAGTGCATACATGAACTGGTTTTAAATTTATTCGGGTTTAAAAAAGTATAAAAACAATATTTTAAGTATCTCGTAAATGGGGATCATTGAAACGAGAACTGGGATTCCTGTCCAATATACTCTCTCTCAAAAAAAAATGTAAATGCTGCTTGTAGTACTTCAACTATATGGCGAGTTTTACCTGTGAATTAGTCGCACCTCATTGCTTCCAGTAGACGGTAAACCTTATAAATATATGTTTCTGACCTTAGAAGATAATATTGATACTTCTTCAGTTTTATCTCTCAACTTGTCACTTAAAATATTGAACTCTTCAACAGATACTGCTGTCTTCATTTCGGCCTCGGGGATTTCTTCTGGATTAGATGACAATGATTAGAATATCTTTAAAAATCTTTTTGGACTAATAAAGTATTTCGGTATCATACTGACCGTCATCTAAAAAATTACATTGAAAACTGCTATTTTCACTTATTGACTTAATACGGTCGTACTCGTCTACTTTATCTTTGACCGAAATCAGAACTTTTTCCAATTTATTTTGGTCGCAGGATGCAATAGACTTCAACACTTTTTTGTCTTGACCAATGCCCAATGGCTTTAGAACCTGTCTAGAATGTTCAAAATTTAACACAATACAGTGACTTCACTTAAGACTCGAATAAGATATTGAAACATACCTACCTTGTCATTTAACCAGCTCCAATTTTTTAATTTATTTGCAAACGAATTCGCAGGGATGTAGTTATGCAGTTCGACATGGCGGGGAAAATAATGTTTTAATAATTCAGCCATCAAAACTGGAAAATAAAAATTATATCCTCTTATATTATATATAAGTGTATATATATATATATATATATATTATATACCCTAATGCGCTCCCTAATGTAAAGTATAAACACGACACTTACGTCCATCAGAAAAATCTCTTGCCAAGTTCTTTTTTGGTTTGGACAATTTTATACCTTCAAGCCAATTATAGAGATCGTCTAATTCTTCTTCTTTTATTTTTGTATCGTTATTTACAATTTGACTCATGTTCTTTACGTTTAGACTTATGAGTTACGAAACATTTAAAGGATGTATTTTCAACTCAATGATTCTGTATTATGATAATTAAATTGAATGTATTATTTATTATTTTAGAGTATCACAGGTGAATATCAACAATAACATTGAGTATGTTTGATATCTGCTAAAGGTATACCATTTTTACAAATTAATTTAATAAAATAATTAAGTTAAACATTCGTGTAAAAGTTTCCATCAAGAATAAAATGCCAATATTTCGAATTGATAAAATTATTAGTTTGTTTATTGAGAAAATAATTATATTTTACTTCATGAAACATTATGGGAATTTATTAAATATTTTATTGCTGTATTGTTTTATTAAGTTAATTCGATATAATAGTGCAAATTTAAAGAAATCGATTGATGTCAACAATGAAGGTTATTATACTGTTAACTCTTATCTTTAAAAAGCGCGGAAGTTATGTTTAGGATCTCTTAATTGAAATCATGTCAATATATTTATGTGTATCAAAGATTTTTATTAAATCCCTTAAATAATGAACAATTGTTTTAGATCATTTCGTTTTAAATACTTATTTTTATGTATTTTTATTTCATTTATTATTTGCTGCACTCTCTCCTTATTGTATCTACCATCTGGTAAATTTTTAGAACTTTTATTGAAATGTTTGAAACTACTATAACAAGTTGAATAAATGTTTCTCATGCAGGTAAACCTGAGGAGTGCGATTGTGTAAGGGAATCATCAACCAAAAAGAGAGCTGTCAGTTCTCATTTGCTAGGAATCATTGTTCCCTTTAGGGAGCGATTTGATGAACTTTTGGAATTTGTTCCTCATATTGATAACTTTCTGATTGCTCAAAAAATTGACCACAAAATATACATTGTCAATCAGGTGCTCACTGTATAATACTCTATTACTACTGAGTACTATTTAATTTACATTTGAAGATTTATAATATTCTTTTAACTAGGTGGATCAATATAGGTTTAACAGAGCTTCTCTGATTAATGTTGGATTTCTTGTAGCAACCCAAGCGGGTTGTGATTATATTGCTATGCACGATGTTGACCTTCTTCCGCTTAATCCAGATCTTTCTTATTCTTATCCTAAGGCAGGATTATTTCATGTTGCTTCCCCTGAGTATCATCCTAGGTATCATTACCCAAACTTTGTTGGAGGTATTTTAATTATTAAGAGGTAGGTAAACTATTACATGTTTTAATTTTTAAAAATGTTATTATTTCCCTGGTTATTTGGATTAGGATAATGGTTTGATTAAAAACTCGTGTGAAAGTGTAATTTTTATGTTTCACTGAAATCATAGAATGAATGCATTTCCTTGTAACATGAATGCATTTCCTTGTAACATGAATGCATTTCTAAATGTTGGTTACTTAGCTTATTAATACAATGTTACATTTCTGATTTTTAAAATTTAGATTAAATTTAACATCATAAATAGTAGTTATTTCTTATTTATTATGAATGAACTCACATTACTAATATTCTTTCAGTGAATATTTTTAAATACATTTAAAATAAGTTAGTCTTTTTTTTTTTTTTTTCTTAAGCATTGTATTGAGATTTATGGGATCTGATTCTTTTTAAAATATAGTAAAAACCAAAGAACAAAATCTAGTGTCACAATATATTGTTCCTTCTCTTATTTTGTTATATTGTAAAATTTTATAAAATAGAGTTATGAAGATTTCATTGCCTATCATCAATTTTTTAGTATTTTTGTTTTGCTTTTTCACAGGGAAGACTTCATTACAGTCAATGGAATGAGTAATAAATATTGGGGTTGGGGCTTAGAAGATGATGAATTTTATGTCCGACTTAAAGAAGCAGGTCTTAACATCACAAGGCCTTCAAATTTGACTACAGGAATAGAAAGTACTTTCAGGTAGATTGGAACTGTAAAAAGTTATAAATTTTTTTTGGCTTTATTAGGCTTATGGAAGGCTTAAAAATATTCTAGTTTATTATTATACCTAAGCTAATTACTGGAAACTATGATGTGGAAGATTGGAGAATAGGAATAGAATTGAGAAGTGTGGATTGCCTTTACCAAGTGGCCAAGTTATACATTCACAATAAAGGATTAAAATCTGTAATCTCGGTTGAAATGAGTCACTTGTTTTTGTCATCATACTCATTATTAGACAAAATATTAATTCCTTTTGTAAATAATTCACTTTTTAGTAGGACTTTTCTTACAGAATTTATGAACTTTTTTTGAAGATTTTACTATAGGAAACCCTATAGCAATAATAATTTATAATTTTACTTAGAGCTAGTAAGAACTTAATTTATTTAGTTTTTAAAACATTTCTTTTAGAAGTTTATCTTCCTTAATAGTATATTAATTGTAATGTGATTCAACATTTATTAATTTGTTTTTTTATTAAATAAATAACGGATGTCAGCTTATCGATACTGTTATTGCAAAAGATCTTATGTATAAATTGAGTTTTTTACAAAAGGGCCTAACAAAATTTCTTTATGAGAGAGAAATACTTTATTTAAAGCAGTGCTTCCCTACTATATAGGGTTGCTCAATACACAGCATACTCATCAATCCTTTTTCTTTTGGACATACAAATTATATACTAATACGTAAATTAGAATTATACAATATTATATATAAATATTTCGATGAAACCGATATAAGACAATTAATTTCATATTTTTTCCCCCCTATTTTCCATTGTAGCAGAATATTTAATGCAATTGCGGATTACAAAATGTCAACTTTAGAATTGTTACATAGAAAATTGTTTGATATGACCTTTTGTACTAACATTAGGAGTATGTTGAGTAATTGAACAATATTGGTTTAAACAAAATATTTTAATTTAAAAACCATGCCATTGACAATAATGAAACTCAGCCATTTGATGCTTCCATTGCTAGCAGCTGTGTCCGTCTCAATATTATTAAGAAAGTCTGGCAGTGCGGGACATGTTTTTTAAAATGTGATGTTAGTGTTTTATTTAATATTAACAAATTACTTCAAATACGTGCAACTATTCTTTGGATTTTGGGGTAAACACTACCCTAATGTTTCAAACTATAGTCTCCCAAGAAAATAAGCTATTGATTATAGTGAAAGGTTGTAATAGAAGGGTCATTATTAGCCAATGCCCACTTTTTTTGTGATGAAGCTGATCATTATAGAACCCTGGATCTCTTAGCCATTTTTAAATTCTGTATAAAGGGTTGTCCTTCATCATCTTTTTACATGTCAAAAGCTCTGCGGGTCCTCAGGTGGTCTGTAACCATTGTTTTTTTTGACGAATTGGGATGTTGAAGAGGTCAGAAGTTGTATACGATGGAGGTATGAGACCAGATAACCCCATGTAAATTTAACAATATGATGTACACATTCATATTCTTAAGTTTTTTTTTTTTTTGTTTTTTTTCATTCAAAGGCATATTCATGATAGAGTATGGAGGAAAAGGGATATGGTGAAGTGCTATAACCAGAAAGAAGTAACCCGCCGCCGGGATAGACAAACCGGCCTCAAGGATGTTTCTTATTCCATTCATTCTGAGAAAAACATTGTGATAGAGGGAGCGCCGGCTACCATTGTCAATGTCTTTCTCAAATGCAACAGGACAATCACACCGTGGTGCTTGTGCAGTGAAGAGAAAAAGAAGCAAGAGTTAAAGTCAGTAGGAAAGAAGAAATCTACGGTCAGGTGACATAGCCATAAAAGGAAAAAAATTGATCTCAGATTGAGAAATGCCAATTACTAATGTTATTTGACTGTTGCTTGAATTAAAAAAATAAAATAAATATTTTATATAATCAGTTTTACTAATTGGATTGTGAGACTTCTTTTTAAGAATATTTTTATATGTTTTTTAAATAATTTGTTTTTATATTTATAGGTTTTTAATTAATAAAATATGTTAATAAATAACAGAATTACAAAATTAATGATTGTAAGTTTTCAAATTATTACAGTTCTATGGAAATTTTTGAATAGAAGTGAGATGTAATATAACATTTGTTTATGTTCAGAACATTTTTAACTAATGACAAAAATGTTATCTTGTTTTTTTTTTTTTTTAATCCAATAGTTATAGTTGATTTTTTAACGCTTAAAACAGCATTATGATTTTGTTAACTCTTCATATAGTATTACACGGTAGTTATGTTTTTATTTTTAGTTGTAATTCACATTTTACTGTGAGTATCATTTCTCTCATTATTACTTGAATTTCTTTTTTTTAAATTAGTATCCAGAACTTGCCAGAAGCAAAATTATTCTGGATACAACTCAATAAACCCAAAAGGTAAAACTAATTTTATCAGTAATAACAATAAAAAGCATCATTGGATGAGCAGCAAAATGTTTATAAAAATCAAGTAAGCATTTTTTTGAATGGTGAATGCTTCATTGAAATTGCACTCATAATGGCCGAAAATTTGAAATTTTCATTAAACCTGCATTAGAAATATTGGTCGATTCTATCTTCTAATGATCCTATTGAATAATATTGGAGAGCACGTAAAGTTGTAAAATTCCTAAGTAGTTTCAATTCTACACCGATTCAGATATATCTGACTTGCGTTGGTTAAAAGTTGTGATTTCAAAGAACATTCTTGTCTGTGTAGTAAGAGGAATGATGACTTTAAATATCATCTATTGTTACTAATTTCCTGAATATTAGGTTTCATAAATGTTGAATATCTAATAACAAAATGAAAAGAAATTTATGGCTATAAGTATATCTCACTTTCTTTGTGTACTCAGAATATGCAGAAGTTCAATTTATAAACAAGATTATTTACAAAAGTTAGCCGATTTTATCTGCTATAACATCCTAAATACCATTTTAAGCAACTATTTGTTTTGTGATTGTAAAAAATGTAATCACTATTAGGTTTAATGAGTAATTATGTAAGCTATTATTGTATTGTATAACTTCAATCATTTTTGTTCTAGTCATGATTTTCATAGCTCAAAAGCACTTATTACTTTTTAATATTTGCTCCTGTGATCTAAATTGATTAAAGTTATTTATTTTATATTTTACTTAATATATATATTTTTTAATAAATTAGCTTAGATATATAATTACTACTTTAAAACCTAAGATTGGGAGATAGATTTATTATTTATTATTTATTTGTAAATTTATTTATTTTTTATATAGCTACACAATTTTTTTCTTTATTATTTATTTTTAATTTATCAAAAGGTTTAGTTTGAAAGTTGAGTGAAGATATTGTATGATTTGTTAATCACCCCATTGTTTGGATTCGTTCAATTCAAATCACAGACTGAAAAATACAAGATGATAAAGTACAATAAATTATAAATGGGGAGAAACAAAATAAATAAAAAAAAAACAAAGAAGAAACTTTAAACATGCGTATTGATAAAAACAAAAATATTTGTGGTATAGAAGAGAAAAATACATACAGTTTTTTTTAAAGATCTCTTTGATTTTATAGTAGTAGAGGTTTTTTTAGGAAACATTAAACCATTCAAATGTTTTGTTAAAATTAATAAGCTCATTCATTACCAATTTCTAAATCCGTTGATTAGGCCTCAAAATGTTGTTATAAATGAAAAGAATTACAAAACATAAATTTTTCTCAGATTCATTTCTTCGCCTATAATATATATTTCACTAATATGAGCTCCTTTTTTAGTTTTTTTTTTTGGGAGGGAGGGGGAGATCATAGGATTTCAAGACAAAACAGTTTAGAATCGATCTTACTCTAATGATTCCTGATGATTCCTGACCTTTTTTCATAAGCGGGCACATATGTTAGTTGGTGATGTGGGCGGGGTGGCCAAACGGGCTAACATGTGTGCACAGCACCGCCGTTGCCTGGCAACCTGATCTATGAGACAATGGATTTAAAATAGTCAAGAGTTCGCGTCCCGGTGCCGGGGGAGTCTTTTAAATCCCCACCCACACCCTCTGGCCCGGGGAAACCCCGTATAGCCTTGAAGGGGAGGACCCAAAAAAAAAAAGTATGTTAGTTGGTGGGCTCTGTGTTTTTATTCAATGCAAATTGCGGATAAGTTACTGTTTATAGTATTTAAAAAGTAATGCGAAGTTTATTAATAAAAAGAAATATATAAGTACAGTAACAAACATCTTTATTATTTCCAAAACTAATGAAACATTTTTTGTTTTTGCCAACATTGAAACATTTTTTGCCATTCATTTTTTGTTTTAATAAGAAAGAGATTAAACCAAACAATAGTGATGATACATTGATAAATGAATATTTTATTTTCAAATAATTCATTTATACGTTTGAATTTTATATCTATAAAATCTGGTTAATTTTTAAATATACATACATATATTTAAGAAAAAAATTGTGAAATGTTTGAATTGAAAATTCGTCTGTCTGCAGCATGCCACGTAAAATCATAATGATGAATGAAAAAAAAACTACTTTCTAAGTTATTGATCATATTTATGTTCAATTAATTGAAATGAAATGAAAATAGCCTTTATTTACGCATAAATATTACAATTTCTATGAAAACATACAATTACAAATGAAAACAAAACCAAATAAAACAATTTTTTTACATTATTATAATTTATACAAAACTTTTTACTATTCTTGCATGGGCCTTCCCTTAGGAGTAATAGTCTTTAACACTTTCCTGGGTGACTAACCCTACTGGGCAACGGGGTTTCTGACCTTTAACTATTTTTCTTTCCACACATCTCTGTCCCTAGCTGCTCTCCACCAGAGAGGTCCTGCCAAAAGCCTAAATGGATCTCTCCATATCTTCATTTGTCGGCCTCTCATCCTTTTCCGGTCATATGGAGTCCATTCGGTGACTATTTTTGACCCTCTATTGTCATTTCATCGCAGGAGATGTCCAGCCCATTTCCATGTTCAATTAATTATTGGGTATTTATTGAAATAAATATTCAATTTTTTATTAAAAACTTTCTAACTGCTGCAGAAAATTGATGCCAGGGTAATTGCCGATAAAGTCTAGAGATAGGTGGGCACGAGTAACGTTACGCGGGCACAGTGGTGCCCACGAGCTCGAAGTTGGGAACCCCTGCTCTAATGGATGCCACTGTTAACATGTTCAAGTTATTCATATTCTGAACCAGTGTTGCCTGTTTTAATGTTATATTTATTTATACATTAATAAAATGCACACCTCATTTGCATAATCGATAAATAAGAAATAATGAAGTAATTTTCCACAACAGTTATACTGGAATAATTTGGTATATGAACATTTTGAAGGACTACATTGGCCCTATTTTTTTCTCTAATTTTTTTAAGTACTGAGAAAATATGCTTTTATTTAAATTTTATGGTTTATCTTTCATATTAATTACTATGTATGGCCATTGAATAATACCAAAATAAAAACTTTATATTTGTCAGTGTCCATTATTTTATTTTATTTTATTTTAGTGTCCATTATCAATGTATGGAATTGTCTCCTACTTGGATTATTTAATTGTCAAGTGTATATTATTGACAAAATTATAAAAAAGAAAAGAAAATATTGGTTTTTGAAATGTCTCTGTTTAAATCATTGAAACTGAGGGGAAGGGCCATTAGAGATTATAAAATATCTCTAATTTGTTTTTTGTTTTATGATATTCTTATTAGTACAGTATGAAGAAATAGTTAAAATTGTCCATTTTTTTTTTTGCAGCTCCTTATTAAATCTGTCTTGTGCTATACTGAACCAAATGTTTAAAAAAAAAAAAATTCAATTTATAATTATCATTTTTAATAAGACTTTGGTTTTACCTTTTTTTTTCCCTTCTTTATCTTAACAAATCACATATTTTATTTTCACTTTATTGTGTAAATTATTTGTTAGTAATACAGTACAGTGGGGAGCTAGGTAACTCAGTGGTAGGGCACTAGGCCCTAAGCACTCCGGTGATCAAGATCGCAGGTTCGAATCCCGGCTCATTTCAGAAAAATTATTTATTCTGTTTCATTGGCCATGGGGCGACCCTGGGGTAGTGAGACTCTCCTGGGTCACACCCAGCCTCTATAAAGTGGATACCATTAATTAAATAATTGATTAAGAGGAAAAACCTGGCTTTTGAGCATGATCCTGGCCCAATCCCCTCCCTGCACAACCGTAGGCCTTGAAACAGTACTTTCCCTAAGTAGTACTGAACTCTTAATTTTTTTTTTTTTTTTTTTTTTAAATACAGTACAGTATGGGGTATAACTAGTATGGAAGTATTAAACTACTTCCTTCAGCAAATGCTTCGTCATTCGTGCTACCTCCTTTTGAAACTCTCTTCCTACCTCCATACATCAATCCTCGTCCACAAATTCCTTGAAACAACTCCTGTTCCACCACATTCAAATTTCCGCTAATATATAAAATTACTTGTATCTGTATACTGTGTAATTTCAACTATTGCACAACTGTAATAACAATAAGCAGTATATTAGCTTGTATTTTTTTATTATTTCAAGCCAGACAAATGCCCATAAATTTGTAACACTGTTATTATTCTTAAGGGACTGTAGTTCCAGAATAAAATTATTTTTTCATTCAGTATGAAGAAATAGTTAAAATTGTCCATGATTGGTACAGTATCCGATTCATAAATTAAATATTTTTTTTTTTTTAGTTTCTTATTGAATCTATCTTGTGCTATACTGAACCAATATTAAAAAAAAAAATTGTTTTTCAATTTAATTAATGATTATAATTATTTATAAAACTTTGATTTTACCTTTTCTTTTCTCTTCTTCATCTTAACAAATCATATATTTTATTTTTACTTGTGTAAATTATTTGTTAGTAATGAAACAAATAAGTTGCATTTTTGGAATATTTTATTCAAGTTCTGATTTTATAGTGACAACATCTCTGTTTCTGATTTTAAAAATTCTTATAGAAAGACCAATACGATTATTTATACTTTAAAGTTTAATTTATAGTCGTATATAAAAAGTTTAAATGTCACCTATATTTTATTTAATTAAAACCGTATTGGGATGAATGAAAGTATAATTGAAAAAAAATAAAAGTATAATTGTATTATAACTATCTAAGGATGAAAAATAGTCAGGATATGCAGTCATTTATGTTTTCTATTATGAAATGTTTTTGCTTTCTGTTATTATGATTTAACAATTATTTAAGGTAAAATATTGATATATATGTATGTTATTAAAGAAAAAAAATTAAATATATCTATGTAGAAGCTTTTTTACTAATGTTTAACGAATGTGTACTTCCTTACTTAAGCAGGTATAACTTCCTGCTGGGACCATGATTATGAGATAGGGGTTAGAATTTAAACTTGTGATCTATGTATATGTCTGTATATATAATTTACCATAAATAATTGTATAGTAAAAAAAAATGTATTAAATTTTTGTTTTCATCAATATTTGGTATTTGGTAATTACCTCCTTTTCTTTGTTTGGAGTTAACAATCAGTATTGCAGAAGTAAATATATATATCATTCACTTAGGAGGCCATTTCATAAACTTGACTTATTCAGACAAATTGAATTGATACACAAATAAACTTAAAAAATTTCTTATGGTAAAATATACAATTTTAGTGTTACAATCAAAATGATTTTGAAAATATTTCTTTTGCTTAAAATTTTATATTCTATGATGAAATAATCTCCCACCTCATAAAAAAAAGTAAACTTTAAATATTTGGTCTAAAATCCTTTAGAGATTTGAATGTAATTAAAAAAAAAAAAAAAAAGGATGTAGTAGAGATGTTTTTTTTAATGACTTGAAGAACTAAATATAACCTTGTGAATAAAAAGGATTTACATAAATTAATAATTCCTAGATAAATATATATTTATTTTTCTATATTACATAAAACAAAATTAGAAAGAGGACAATGATTATAAAATATCAACAAAAACTGACATAGTTAATAAACACTATGGAGTGGCACTCGCCCAATTTTATACAGTAAACATTTTAAACACGTAAAAAACATCACAGATTAGTAATACCTTTTCACCATATTATAAATAAAATATTTCCAATATTTATGCAGCCATGCCAACATGCTAAAGAAAAATTAAAAAATGAAAGGAAAAGAAGTGTTCACTTCCTTAAGTACAATAGATCAATACATTTTTTTTTTTTATATAAATGGTAAAATAAAACAAAAATAACTGCAACTGTATACGATTGACTAGAATTCTCTTTTTTTGCCAAAATTGACATTACTGTTTCCTACGACAGAGGCATGCTCCTAATCCTATCTGGAATGCACACAATTAACATATAATGCACGTTTTCTAATTATGAAGAAAATATCTATTCGCACTCTGGATGTAAAATGACATCCCTACAAGTAATAGCTATTGTTAAAGCATGCGGAGATGCAGAAGATAGAAGAGGAGAAATAGATGAACATTCGCACTAAACGAATGCCGGGAGCTGTTTGTTACAGCCAACATACATCATAATTCGCTTCACTGAAGGCATGCACGCATCATTACCTGAAAAAATAAAGTAACATTGAAACAGTATACTCTACCACTACTAATTAAAAAGTTCAAATGAACTGACATTCTAAATCATATCTTCTATACACCAACTTCAAAGATACAAATATGAAATAAAAAAGAAAAAAAAGTATTTTCTTCATACAATGGAAGTTCAGTTTATAAATTCAAATTAGTTTATAAAATTGTATAATTACTTTCCAAGATTTTTCAATTCTCAATTTAGCTGGAATGAATCATTGAAATAAACAACCTTTATTTATTTTTTTTATGAAGCTTTCAGAAATTCAGACAAAAAGTTTTTAAAAAATCTACAAAAATCACTACTACTAACAAAAAATTATTTTAGAGGAATATGGGGATATAATGAGTTTTAAAAAATTTGTTGTGAAAATGGGGGTTTATTTCTGAAATGACAAGGCAATCCAAGAATCTACTCTTTTTTTTGCATCCCTCAGAAGGATGGAAGCGCTTTTCAAATAGTCCATGAGCCATTGCTCAAAACATGATGTAGTGTAATGGGAAGAAACAAAGTCCGCAAATTTCCACTTTAAAATGATTAATTTATTATTATTTAAAATTATTTTTAACTCAGACTAGTTACTCCATGGGTAAGTGTCAGTTATGTGAAGTGCATCACACCTAATTATATTGGATATATATATTCGATTTTATTTTCCATCAAATGGAAGTAGAAAAAAGTTTTCCTTAAAGTTGGTCAAAAGTCAACACCTCAGGAGTTCAAAACAACTTATTTACACTCTGGCAAATACCATTTAAGCTTTTTTAATCACTCTGTAAATCCTTTAAAACTTCATTGTATCCCTTTTCATACATAACCAACTATTTTTAAATATATCTTTAAACAATTTTCTGGAAGAAAATCTGAAGAGTTTTGAACCAACAGAAATAAGAAAATCTCGGATTAATCACTCAGCGTTCCATGAAACTGTTTAATAACGACTTACACAAGAGATAAGACCTGAAATCCTTATAAGATTTAAGATCCAATTTTATCCTACTACACTAAGCTGACCAAACCCAGTCCCGCTTTTGGTGAGACAGTCCCAGTTTTTAAGTTTGTCCCACATGGTATTAAAAAGTTCTGATTTTTTTAAAGAATGCACAAGCTTTAGAACGGAAAGAGAATATACAGTTTTCGGTGGACGTGTTGCTATTTCGCCAGGATATGAGTTTTATATTATTTTTGTTCATTTTATAACGTTAAACTTTAATAATTGTTGAGAACTGATTATCAAAAACTGCTAAGTAAAGTTCGCATTGCTGATCAGTTGTTAGAATTCAATCATCATTGTTTGGACTTAATAAACAACCCAAAATTGATCTTTTTAATAAGGTATCATAATTAAAAATTGATAAGGAAACGGTTAAAAATCGTTGGTATCAGCAAATTAACATTTGCTACTTCAATTCAATGCTATAGAATATTTTGAAAACGACGTGCTTGATGGTTTACAAACTGCTGGCATGAAATATCGAAGTCTTAAAATTAGTGCTATTATTGAAGTTATAAATTAAATTATAAATACACCATCAAATTATTCGCTCTCAAAAATACGTCTTTAGAACTAAATTCTCTACGTTATTTCAGCTGATTAACATTTACACCAGATTATCATTATGTAAAATTAATTATTGTAACAACAAAGTTGGACCATTTTCCCGATCAATGGGTGTCACGCACTTTAACTAATGTTAAAATCATAGTCACCTTATACTACACACTAATTATATTAAAGAAATTTTGACTAATAACTAACAGTTCTAAATTAAAGATTCAATATAATAAAAATAAAAGGGAAAAAAAAAAGAATGAAAAGGAAAAAAGAAGAGCACAAACATTGAAAGGAGTGTTTTTATACAAACCTGTATTATTATTTTTTTACTTGATTGTGTCCCTTAGTTTGAACTGAAATGTGCATATAATTTACACATGCCATGCAAAGTGTAAAAAAAAAATATATCAATCAAACAAGAAATGTATAGTTAAACTCAATGGGCACATAATATCTGCCTTATAATTAATTCAATGGAGGTTGATAATTTTTATTACTCAAATTAGTTAAAATCATTGCACAGTAATTTTTAAATACATGTATCATAAGCGGGAAATAATTTTAATAAATAAATAGAAAAGAAGAATGGAACCGAATTTCTTCAGTAAAATTTTGATATGAGACAGAGCGGTACAGTGACCATACGTACAGACGGATCTACGGAGGTGAGGGAGAGGGAGGGAGCTTTCGGGCTGAAGCACCCCCCAAAATGGTAAAATATAACCATGTTTTATGAAAAACTTTATCTCTATAAGTATTATTGTTTGTCTAATTACATTTAATAGGACTTAAAGAATTACTTAAGCGCCATTTTATGTAGGTAGTTTCTTTCTTTCTTCCGAAGTAATTATCCTAATATATACATACAAAAAAAAAAAAAAAACTGAAGGAACCGTTGAAAGTGCACTGCAAAAGTTTTATGATTGCTCAACATTGCCAGAAAATAATTTCTATTCAAAGTAGAAAGGTAAGTTGAAAATTGTGTGTTGCGCACATCAGATTTTTTTTCATGTGACTTTAAATTTTTTATCATAGACATTGAAATCCCATCCTTTCACCATTGTGTAGCCTTCATTTATCAATAGACTTCCTCGATATATGTTTTTGTTTTTTACTTCAGGTTTATTAAATGCAGCTCTACATCTATAGTTTGATGGTTTGCAAGATAAATATTGAAGCGTTAAGGAAACGGGTCTATAAAAAAAAAAAAAAAAAACTAGGTTTAGTCGATGTTTTATTAATGCCAAATGATTAAACCTCTTGCAATTTCATTTTTTTTTTTTTTTTTTTTTCATTGTCAGAATAACCCTCACATTGTCTTATCATCTATCCATGAGAGAATAATAAATCTTTTAAGTATAAGTACGAAAGATTTGTTTCTCCAAAACAAATCTATTTCCAATGCAAAGTTCGATATCTCTCTACATTACTAAGTCATAATTTAAGCAACTTATTAAGATTTCTACAGGAAAAGCTTAAGATTAAACCATCGCAAAATCAAATAACTTTTATATTGCACATGATCCAGAACTCAAATGCTTTTATCAGTCTCATGCAAATCTACTTCTTTTAAACTAATGTATGCTGTCATAATTCCAATAGTGCTTAATAAAATAAAGTAGAAAAATGTATAACTAAATGGCTATTTTATTGACTAATTAAATTAAGGCTTTGGCTATTATCAAAACTTTAAGAACTAGTATAAAAAGTTGACACTTTTAGTAAAAAATTTTTGTTTGAAGTACAAACAACAGGGGTAGCTGCCAAGTCAAGTATTAACTAAGTCTTAGATGTACCCACTCCAGGATTCCACCATCCAAAATTTAAAACATATACAATACAATATCCAATCGCCTTATAGTATATAAGGGCATAATAAATATATAATAATAATTTAGAGTAGGTTAAAATAAGATTGGTCTAGAACTTGAACCCTAACTTAGCAACCATCCCTAAATGGTCTACAATTGAGATTCTTATTTTTAACAATCATCTACATTTTATGAATCTTTTAACATAAATTGACAAAACTTAATATTTATAACTACAAACAAAGTCAAAGAACAATAACAGGTGCTTGTATGGCACAAATTCACATTTTTAACATAAAAAAGATTATTCACTGAGTTGAATTCAGCATTTCCCATCATCATTGGAAAATGTCCCTTTTTGGCACAGTAATAATTCGTAAAATAGAAAAATATATCTACCCTTCTGTAACTAATTTAAAATTTATAATTAATAAAATATTAAAACTTCCTTCGTATATCCAGAGGCATTTACAATAGGTGTTCTTAGTCAAGCTTGTTTAAGTTTTAGATACTGTTTTCCTCTGCTTTGAAATAATATGTTTCAAGAAGTGAAAGCATTAATGGTCTGCTGAAATATACTTTCCTATTACCTGTTGACTTTTTTTAAAAATCTATATCATACTAAAATATCAAAGACTGTTTCTTTAAACTTATTTTTTAGGACAAATACCTAGCCTGCAATTTTCTCATGAGTCTCAAAAAAACAAATAAATTAATACAATTCACCCCACAAACATGGATTCCAAGCAGGTTCAAGTCTCTTGCCTAGTTAAAAATGCTGAGTGTTTTTTCTTTATTTTTTACTACAATCTTTCACAGTTTTAAACAAAAAATCTTCTTGTATACAAGATTTCTGCACAAAAACTAGTATATACTTCATTTCAGAACTGTTTTTCAAGGAAAATCATTTATAGTTTGAGTTATTTTCATTTGGAATTCTGAACTTCAAAGCATCCTCCTCAGCTATCAATTTCCTCGACGAATTAAAAAAAAACTATATACATTCACTGATGAGAAGAACTGGTCCTACATGGTCTTATGGTCCCTTTTGGCGAACCGTGATGGGTATCTTAAGGTTGCCCCAACCTGCTCGGCCATTACATCCTCTTGTACGCATTAATGTCTATTTCCTTTATTTGTAAATTTTCTAATATGCTAGATCAGCAATTTAATTGTCTTTAAAAAATTATATTGTATTGTAAATTATACATTATATTGTATTTAAAAAATAGCTAATTTATAATGCACTATATTATGTAGATACAATGCAGCATCCATTGTATGTTTATCTTATTCCTATGGTATGTTTCTAATTATTATTAATTTCAATACCAGTATGAATGTTTTATTATATAACAAACACTGAACCATTGCTGAAGTTTTATTCATCCGAGATAGATTTTATTTATTTAGATTACATAAATAATTTTTTTGGTAACAGTTGAATTAATTAACTTTATTAATGTAGTTTTTAAACATCTGTCAAGGTTTAATTATACCTGTTTTCCTGTCTATTTCTTTCAATAGATATCTTATTTTCATTTTCTAAGATATCTTCAGCCTCTCTGAAGAAGTTCGGTGGAGAAAAATTTATAAACTAAGACAC